CAGGAAGCTCTTCGGGGCTTGCAAAGATGCAAAGAAAATACAGAATGGATTTTTCCATTAAGGTCTCTGCACCCAAATAGACTACTCTGGGACTGTTTCCAGCAATAGAAAGTGTTCTGGGACTGGAATGACAGTCCCCAGACTAGAATGATGGTCCCTAGCAATAGAATCTGTATTCTTGGACTGGATTAAAGGGCACAGAATGGAATGACAGCCCCGGGGAGTAGCAGCAGCATTCTGGGAACCGAATTCCACTTTGGGGGTCCTCATTTCAATCCCAGAACACTTCTGCTACTCTCAGGGACTGTCATTTCACTCTGGCGGTTGTCATTCCAGTCCCAGAGTAGTTTGGGCCCAGAGACCTTAATGAGAAATCCATTCCACATTTTCTTTGCAATTTTGTCTGTCCTGCAATGTATTTCAATTGAGTGGAGCTCAAGTAGTTTCACTTTCCAGTGTTTGTATAGTTGAAATTGTTGGTTGATGGAGTTGTCTCCTTGCAAATACAGGGTTGATGTTTTGAGCCAGCTTGTCTCTGCTGAATGGACCAGAGAACAGGTGCCTGAGTGAGTACTCTAACCTGGAAACCCACAGCCAAAGGGAAACATTACACTTGAGAGCCACTGCTACTCTGAGTATACCTGGGGGGGGGGAGAGAAACTTGCAATGCCCAGCCATTTTATGTTCCTAGGCTCAGAGCATTTTATATATTTAGTTTCTGCTGTGATCCTTGTGCTTTTTCTTGATGTTTTATTTTTAAAAATTGCATTGCCAAACCCCACTATTCTCCCACCTTTCCATTTTAGGCAGGAATCTTTTTTGGAGGGGAGGTTTGGGAGGTGTCAGTTATCAAAAACTGTTAAACAAAATACTGCAAGAGTTTTAAGCATATTTGTATTTTCAGTAAAAATAATACCTTTAATTGTGTTTGTATCTTTTATATTGTGTTTGTATCTTTTATAAAGTTCGTATCTCTGCTACCTGGCATTACATTTTATGTCACACATGGCCTGGCCCCACAAAGTCCCATTTATTTCAGATCCAGCCCTTGTAACAAATGAGTTCGACACCCCTCCTTTATTGTATCCCCACTCTTTTTTAAAAAATAAAAATTATATAATAAAGTGAAACAAGCAAGATTTGTATTGCCATTCTTAAACTTTGACAAACATTTTGCTTTTCTAGTATAAAATTGGCCTGAATCTTAACTGGATCCAACACAGAGAAATATGTCATGTGACCAACATATTCCTATACAGAGCTATTCCATTCTACACCCATTGATTTCTATGGCTCCTGTTTAGACAGGTTCCTGCTTTGTTCACTTGTTTGTTAGAATATTTCTTCCCACTTTTCAGAAAAAAAATATCCCCAAAGTGGTCATTCTAACAACCAGCAATCAGTGGCTTTAATAACTTCAGCTAAGTAATGGTTGAGTTTGGGTTTTGGAAACACATGGATGTATGAAATATTGCTTCATTTTAGAAGGTTGAACTGTGTGGTGCTTTCTTAATACAAATTGATTTTTCATGTAGGTAGGTAGGTAGGAAGGAAACCTCATCAATGCAGTAAAACCTAATTCCTTCTTGCAAGGAAGAGATGTTAATTAAAAGTGTATACAGCTTATGACTACAGATGTCTTTAGAGATGTGCTTTTATGTCTATCAATACCTTCTTTAAAAATGGCCATAGATGCCACCTTAAGGCTCTTATCAATCTTCTGACCATTTAGTTCCTCTACTACATGAAAGTTTGCAAATTTTAAAGAAAACACCACAAGAAACAACCCTAGCATGCAGTCTCTATGGCATACACTTCTTGTGGAAAATTAAGCCAGTTTGCTCACTCTTTTCCTTTAGAGTGGCAGGCGCAGCTTAGAAGACCCCTGGCCAATTACCTTCTCCCCCCAATGAACTTTTCATGTGGTGAAAGGAAGAAAGTGCCTTTTAGACTCTTAGACATGTAAGTGAAACTCAGAATGATGCCAGTGTGCAATAAAACTGTTTGGCTGGCACTACACTGATTATTCATGAAGACAGTTTTCTGTAGCATCCCCATATCCAAGCCAGCAGTGCCTGCTTGACTAGGAAGGTAAGTCCAAAGCTATAAAGAAGTCCTGACTGCCAGGACAGCCAAAGAAAAGATGTGGCAAATGCACAGCCATGACAACTCCTAAAAATACTTTAGTATGAAACACCAGTGTGGCTCTTCAGTTATAAGAAGTCTTATTTAAAACAAACAGTAAAATTACAGTCTCATCTCTCCTTGTAACAATCCTACTCATTTTCTTTTAATTTTGAAGAAGTAAAAGAACAAAGGATGCAACTTGAGTCATATTTAAAAAGATATTCCAGTTACTAAAACAGTTAGATTAGCAGAGACTAAAACTGCATTGTTCTTTTTAGCATAAAGTAATCATAATGCAAAATGTACTTGCCCAGTTTCATTGCTTGTTCCCAAGCTTGTTCAACTGTGTGCAGTTTCTCTTTTGTTATTTCGAGTTCTTTGTTTAAAGACTCTATCTGTTCTCTTAGTGATGCATTTTCATGCTGCATGAAAAAATGTGAAAACACATTATAAGACTTATTTAAACGTATTTAAGATATAGTTTAAGGTGAACAGTGATAAACAATCTTCTGGTATCCTGTGTGATGTCATAATTAGGCTATGACTGAGTCAGCAGACTAAAGTTGCATTTCTATGCTAATGTACCATCTCCATTAATGTCAATCTTGTGCCAGCTGTTCTGAAAAGAATGAAAGCTACAAGCTTGGTAGGACTATTTCTGCAGATCCAATACCTACATATGGATATCCTGGCTGGTCATCATTTTGGAAGGAGTTTTCTGTTGGGGGGTGATTTTAATGGTTTTAAAATGTGATTTTATCACATGTGTCTTAAATTGCTAGCTGTCTTAGTGGCCCTTGTAAGGGCAGAAAAGCAGGATATAAAGTCTGTAAATAAATAAAAACAGATTCTTTGTTTCCTTTCAGTTAAGAAGATACACACATTAATCCACCCAATGCCAAAGTATAGGAGCACCTACTACTCCAGTACCCAAGTCTCCATTCAAAGGAGAGAGATAACCCACACATCTCTTTCTCTCTCTTCTAGTATTAAAGAACCGGTAGCACATATAGGGCAGTACTATGAAGCCTGTACATATGTCACTCTCTTTGTTTCTATTATACAAGAGCTAGTGGTTTATAACACTGATCGATGGGGAACAGAAAGGAGGGGGAGTGAGTCTTATTTCAAAACTGATATTTTCAAGGAACAGAATTTGCAGATGGAGCAGAAAGTGAATCTAGGGGTTACCACCCCAGAGTAACACTGAGAATACAAGTAAAATTACCTCCAAGTGATCCATATTAGTTGTTCTTTGAACAAGTAAATTGTCTTTCTGTAGCATATCCCTGTATTTAGCAGTTAATTCCGTATATTGTTTATTAGCTATTTCTAGATCAACCAGAGGTACACTATTATCCAGTGCTTTTTGCAATGCTGCTATTTTGAAGGTTGCCATTTCCTAGAAACAAAGATCATTACTTGTGGTTTTTTTTTAAAATAAATATTTTATTGATTTTTTCCCATCACCCACACCTAACATCATGTGCTAGTTGTATCATTTACATAGACGAGCATACAGCCATAATACTTTACAATATCACTTCGTCGAATCTCTTCCTAACAATTCTGTTAAATTTTCCATTTATACAGCTTTCCCCAATTTTTTTCAAAAATAGCTTCATCTTTCCCTTTTAATATACCAGATAGTTTATCCATCTCAGCAATCTCAAACAGTTTTTGTAACACTTCTAGTTTGTCAGGGATCTTATCTGTTTTCCAGTATTTAGCATAACTTATCCTTGCTGCAACTATACAATGCAATAACAAATTTTTCTGTTCCTTTTTAAACGTTTCGGGAATAATATTCAATAGATACACTTCCGCTTTCATTGGTATTACTTCTTCAAAAATTTCCTTTAACATTATGCTAATACATTCCCAATATTTTATGGCTTTGCGGCACGTCCACCACATGTGGAGGTACGTACCAACTTGCTCTTTACATTTCCAACATTTATTGGTTGAAGATGAAGAGAATTTAGCTAATCTTGAGGGGTACAAATACCATCTATGTATGACTTTATATGTATTTTCCTTAAAGGAAATCGTCCTAGTGGCCTTCATATTAGTTTCCCAAATTTTGTGCCATTTGTCTGGTTCTATATCATAGCCCCGGAAGACAAGCGGAGTTTCCGGTCGCGATCTCACCAGCACATCTGGGAAGCGTAGTGCTTCCGTGGCACAACTGAGGCTTCCTGCCGAAAAAGCGCAGCAAAAAACTAGTACCTTGGAGGTACTAGTTTCCAGAAACTGCGGGGCAAGGGCGGGCGTCTGATCGCGTTTCCGGTGGTATCCGGCGCCCGCCCATGTCCCCTTGCGGAAAAGGGTTTTTTTCCCCCCACGTCTCCGTGGATGCGCACACGCACCCAACGGAGCATGCGCATTCGTAGTGTACACAAAAAAAGAAAACCAGTTCGCCGCGCCGCGCGCTTCTTCATTGCGCGCAGGCGTGTGTTGTGATCGGCACCTCTCCCTTGCCATGGAACCTCCACAGTACCTCCACAGAACCTCCACAGTAGGTCTGATCGCTTTACTGCATGTTAGTTTGCCCCGGGGCAAACAGCCACACTTCTCCTCTGCAGTTTCCTGCCCGTGTGGCAGGGGCCATAGTCTTCAATTGTAGATATTGAAACCATGGCAGTTCTTTATTTACAGGCATACGCCGATGACGTAGTTTTTATTCTAGAGGAACCATCAGAATCAATTGAGCAATTAACACGAGTTCTGCAAATGTACGGACGGGTAGCTGGTTTAAAGATAAATTTTCAAAAGTCAAAAATCTTAACAAAAAACTGTTCAATGGCAACGGAAGAAATATTAAGAGAAAAAACAAATTTTGAAATAAGTAAGAAAGTTAAATACCTGGGTGTGTGGCTAACGAATAAATGCAGCTCATTATTTGATGACAATTATGTAAGACTGCTGAAAGAAGTTAAAGAAGACCTAGCTGGCTGGAAAGGTCTACAATTGTCACTACTGGGCAGAATTGCCACAATTAAGATGAACGTCTTGCCAAAAATAATGTTTTTGTTTCAAACATTGCCCATTATTAAAAACAAGAAGTTTTTTAGAGATCTGGAAAAAGACACTTCCTCTTTTATTTGGCAATCAAAAAAACCAAGATTTAGGATAAAACTGATGCAAGACAGGAAAGAAAAGGGCGGTCTTGGCCTCCCGAATTGGGAATTGTATTATAAAGCCTCTGCTATGCTCTGGATCAAAGATTGGGCCACATTGGCCAATGGTAGACTTCTTAAATTAGAGGGGCATGAACTTCTGCTCGGGTGGCATGCAAGTCTTTGGTATAATAAAGGGATAAAAACCTTCGAAAGACATTATATAAGACAAACATTATTAAAAGTCTGGAAGGAGATCAAAAAGCTATTCTATAGAAAAATTTCGAGGTGGATTTCCCCCATAGAAACTTCAATGTTGCCAACTTTATTTGATTATACTAAAAAGTGGCGTTACGATGAATTTCTAGAGAACAATAACGATTTAAAGTCGACAGAAATACTGAAAAATCATTACTTGTGTTCAATACCAAAACTATGTTCAAACTATGGTAACATTAAAAAGGAACGTGGAAAACTGAAATTAAGTTACGCTCTGTAGAAAAATACGGTGTATCCTGTAAATCACATTTACCTTCTCCATTTCCCAAAAATAGTGTGGAAGAGGTGCATGTTATCATGCCTGGTTCTTAAGCAGGCCCATAGCAATGGTGGGGCATTTGGGGGCAGAGCCCTGCCCCACCCTGGGAGGATGCCATACCCCCACCCCACCCCTGCTGCACTGCACTCCTTACCCCTGTCTCTCTGCAGCCTCACCAGCTTTTCCAGGGAAGCTGTCGCTTCTGGTCAGTTTCATTCCCACCAATCAGCTGTTAGGTTTAACAGCTGGTCCCTAGGAGTGAAAGTGACCAGAACCAGAAGGGTGGCTTCCCCTTCCTTCCCCAGCCTCCTCGCCACCGGGGGGGGGGTGGTGAAAAAAGGGATCGCCTGGGGGGAGATAGAAAGAGACAGCCCTCCGCAGTGGGGGGGAGGCTGGGGAAGGAAAGGGAAGCTGCCCTGCCGCTTCTGGTCAGTTTCACTATCCTTTGATCCAGGGGAGTGAAACTGACCAGAAGCAGCAGGGCAGCTCTGGAAGGGAAGGCCCTTAAGCGACCTTCCCAGGGAACTAATCTAATCTAATTAATTTCCCCTGCCCCATCAACCAACATTTTCTGTCTATGGGCCTGCTCTTAAGTACGAATGAACTTTAGTTCTTATCTCCTATTTTTAATAGTCTTCAAAGTTCCAAAAAGCTTGATCAACAAGAGAACAAAAAGTCTTGATAGCTCAGTCTAGTTAAACCACCTGCCCAAGAAAGGCACTTAATATCTACAACATCCATAGCAGATCCATGCTCAGTATTTTTGTTGACCCCATCAATAAAAGCTAGCAACATCTGGACTGAGCCATACTTTGCAAATCATATATCTAATAGTTAAGTACTGCTCCCATAAAATTCAAAAAAAGGGGAAGCCACGCAAGGCCACAGCACATACTTTTGCAAATCTGGAGGAAACTCCAGGTTCCAAATGAGTTTGGAAGCTTGAAAAAAGACTAGGCTTAATCAAAAAGAGCACCAAAATAGTAACGGTGATGTCTGCACATGCTGTAGCAACCCAAAATGTTGCCCAACAATGAAAGGAGCTGGGTAGGGGACAGAAACAGGAGTGGGGAGAGACAGTGAAAAAAGATAAAGTAGGAGCAGGAAGGGATGAAACAGCTGGGGTGGACAAGGGTGAGGGAAATCAGAAAGTAAGTAAAATGCTAATTTTAAAAAAGTTTTCCAAGTAATCTGACACATTAGGATACATCTGAGATCTTCATAGTACCAAAAATAATATATTTTATCATTTTCAACTGGAAATTTACAAGTTTGCAAAATTACCAACTGCTGGAGAAAGCAAGCTTGACAGAATTTTCAAATGAAAAAAATTACATTAAAAATACCTTGAACCTCTGCAAGTGCCCAATCTTTTCTCCAACTGTAGTCTCCATTGTTGTCAATTCAGTCTTCATTTTCTCATTCTGTTTTCGAAGGTGTTTCTCCATTTCTAGTAAGGTTGTGTACTGCCTTGTCATCAATCTTTCATTTACTCGAAGAACAGTTATTTTTCTACTATATTCTGCAAGTAGCTGTTTAGAGTCGTCATCACCTTTTTTTTGAAGTGTATTCAATAAATTCTGTGGGAAGTTCACAAGTGTTACTGGGACTGTAGTATAAGTATTATATATTTTATTCCGATCTGGAGAGCTGTGAATGCAGTTCTGTTTGACAAATGGGTTCTCTTACCTTATGCTTCCCATTAAAAACCTTTGCCCCCCTCCACCCCCCAAAAAATCCAGAGAAATAGGTAGCCTTGTAGATTAGCACGGAATGACCACAGTGGCATGCAGCTGGAAGGGGATGGGAGAAATCAGCAAAATAAACAGAGAGATATGAGCAAAATTTCTGCTTCTGCAAGGGGTGACTGTCTCAATTCCCTCTCCCCGGCCGGCTGCAGCCCCAGTAGTCATCTCATTCCATTCTGCATGTCCCCAGATCCTGGAGTGGCAGGGGGTACCACAAAGGGTTGCAAATGGGAAGAACAAGGCAGGAAAGCGGCACTGAACAAGCAAAACTGTGCTCATGGTTTTCTGCATCCAAGTTTTACTGTTTTTACAGTTGTACCCTAAAAATGAGACACAGAAAAAATATGTCACTTCTCAAACTAAAAAGTCATTCAACTTTAGAAAATGCTGCTCAGGTAGTACACAAAAGATCTTTCAATACATCCTCTCATCTTTTTCTTTCAGTGAATACTTTCTTCTTCATTGTGCACAGATCTTCTAGCTGGAAAGGCCAAAATGGTATTCGTCTTTAACTAGCCACTATTTCATGCAAAATATATAGAGAATAATTCAATGGTGTCAACAAGTTCCAATACTATTATAAACTTCAAAGGAGCTTTGAAAACGGTTAGACAATAAGACAAACTTCTTTATACCACCACACTATTATTTAAGTATGTCAATTATTCATTTTCTTTTCAATAGTTCCCAGAAGCTTTGGATTCATTTTACTTTAAAATACAATCAATTCTTTTGAGTTGGATCCAATGTCCCCTTCTGGTAACTGAGGCATCATACTCTGTTGGAAGAGAGTTATTAGATCTAAGTCTATGTGCAAAACAGTTTCAGAACATAGCAGAGCCTGTTCTCAAATTTCACAATGGCTTCAGTCTTTCTGAATTCTTTCTGAATTACTTTTCTTTATTTCCATTAACATGGAAGTATTACATAAGAAGATGTTTTTAACTAGAAAGAACTAGAAGTAGTGAATTGAAAAGCGTGGGTTGGTGGGGGCACATAACCAGAAGCACAAAGTTTTGAGGGTACCATAAAAACCAGACACACCTATCATCATTGTGATCCTCTGCCTCATCAAGGAAGCTATTACAGGATCACATGATTTAACAGTGATGAACATCCAACCATTCTGAGCTGGACTTTCCTCCTTCTCTCTCCATTGAGAAGCCTTAAACAACCAAGACTGTATGAGTGGAATGCCTCTCTAAGCAGAAAAAAACTGTGAAAGGAGATGGGCTTAAATTTCCTCCAAGAAGTGCCTCTCTTGTGTTGTCCAGTGATGGGACAACCACTTCAGCCTTTCCAGGATATGCCCAAAACAGGCAAGATGGAGCTGCAGTCTCTGGGTTGAGTGATCCAGGACACTGTTTGGTTAAAAGGGCAGAGGGGAGGAAACAAACATCCAAGGGGAATGGAAGGATGGCCTATTTAAGGAAGATCTGCAGCCCGCCAGGGAGGATGAAGTACCCCACTCATGCAGAAGGTGAAAGAAGAGAGTACAGAAAGGTGGAGAAATCAGGTGGTACAACTCCTTGTCCTCTCCTCCAATCTGCCTTGCAAGTCCTCTGCTTTAAGGAAGGTCACAGCAGGACAAGGGCAGCAATGGCCTTGGTGAGAGGGGTGTCACATGTGACAAATGTGAAATATACCATATCTTTGGCTGAAAGCAGAAAAAACACTTACAAAATATTCCTTTATTTTTATATCATCTTGCTCTTTTTGACATTCAAGCTTCTTCTTTTCTTCTTTTAATTTTTCACCAGTTGTTTGCCAGTGTTCTTTTTCACTAAGTGAGACAAAGCATTTTATTAAAAACAGAATACTCTTTTGAACTTTGGGGGGGGGGGAATGACAGCATCACATCAGGCCCTAGAACTTCATGTAAGCCCATGATCTTTGGCAAAGAAAAGCAACAGACAGAAACAGATTTTGCAGTGAGGAACTTGCATTTCTTTAAGACAATGTTTGTGTGGGCATTATACTGGGAGGTTTAAAAAGTACTAGAATCTAACCAACTGAATTATCTTTGGCTCTGTATGCTCTGAAGGGTAATTCCGGTTCCATGCTACACTTCCTCTTAAATGTTTAGATTTAAAAAATGCAGTAGCTTGAAACAGTCTATGCAACTGTGTGCTGTCAAGCTGCAACCGACTCATGGTGAATCATGGTGAATCTTAAAGAAGTTTTCAAGGCAAGAGAGGAGCAGAGGTGGTTTGCCATTGCCTTCTTCTGCATAGCAACCACTTAGCTTCCCCTCTCTGACAAGCTTGGGCTCAGCTGGGCCATTCAGTCTGCTATAAGCAGACTATAGAAAACAGATAATCCTTTTCTCAAAGTTCTTAAAAACTTACTCACATCATAAACTGCACAAAGGTCTAATAAAGGAAAATACTTAACATATTTTATAAGACCACACAACAACTATTAAATATCTTTAAATAATGTCATAGTATTAAGTTTAAGGCTAAGATTTGAAAAAGGACATGTACATGGAGCAGAGAAACTACAAAGGAGTGGGAAATTAGTTTTTTGGCTACCAGAAGAGCCAAGCTGCATCTCAGTATACAAAGCAGTGTAACTCTTCTATAATAGATCAAATGATTGCAATGAAGGTAAAATAAACCCCAAGCCCAGCTTCAGCTTTCTATGGTTCTGCCCTGCATGTGCATGTCCTTTCTTTAGATACTTAGCCTAAGTATTTATTATTTCAACAAAGCAAAAAATCTTAAAGAGCAATAATATACCTTTGATATTCTTTATACAGCAAACCTTGCTGATGGCGGATAACTGCAATTTTTCGTTTATATTCTTCTACTGCTTCTTCTAATTTCTTGAGTAGCTGTTCTTTGTTTTCTAGCTCCTAATGATAAACTTTAGATTAAATTTATGAAACAGCTAAATTTTAAGTCCAATTTTAGTATTTAAAAACCTTTTGAGTCTTCAACATTATGCCATTTCTCAAATATAAATGATGAAAGCAGCTAGGGTTGCCAAGTTGAAATATCTTCTTACCGGGGGGACTCCTGCGCCGCAGCTGGAGTGCGTGCATGCGAAGTGTCCGTGTGCCGCGCGCACGTCACCCAGAAGTGACGTGACGATGCCGGGCACGCTGGGGGCAGGGCCACGACCATCCGAGGGAAGACATAGAGTCACGTCACTTCCGGGTGACGTGCACGTCGGGGTGGGGTTCCCCCCGGGGCCCAATCCGCCGGCGGCGGGGAACGGGCCTCTGGGGCGGGGGTTTCTGCCCCCCGGGGGACTTGGGAAGCCTAAAAGCAGCAGAAGATAGGATTCACAATAATGGGTTTAAATTAAGGGTGGGAAGATACCTGCTGGATAGTAGGAAAAACTTTTTTACAGTAAGAGTTGTTCAACAGCTACGGTGTTGTATTGCACCCGTACATTGTAAGCCGCCCTGAGCCCATGCGCGGGGAGGGCGGGGTATAAATAAAATTAAATAAATAAAATAAATAATAAATAAACAGTGGAATCAGCTACCTAGGGAAGTGAAGAACAGTACTGGGGGCAAAGTGAGGGCATAATGTGAAGGAAGAAATTGGCAGAAATCCCTGCCACCTGCTCCAACAGTTAAAATGCATTCATGTCTTTAAAATGTGTGGTAGGATACATGCCAATATGCTTTAACAAATGTCTAAATTATGCATAAAATTCATCAGATTTTTAAAAACCTTTAACTGTCTACATTTCATTTCTCCTTAAATCTCTTGCATGAAACTATTCCTTATACCACTGCTTGTTTACGATGATTAAATAATGTTTAAAATTGATTACTGACTTGTTAGACATAAAATGCTATTAACTGAGTATTGGACTGTCAAGGATAACAAACTACACATACAGAATTTTCTATTCCTCTTTAAACATCCTGCTTTTCTCTTTAACCAATATGTTCCCAGAGCTGAGCACATGTTCCTGTGCATCTACTGTTCAGTTTAAAATAATTTACCTGCAACAGATGGATTAAATACTCATTCTGTGAATTAATTATGTTTGCACTAGTAGGAATAATCCCTTCTGGAAGATCTACTGCCTTGAATACTATACTGGCCCCTTCAGTCTGTCGTAGCAATTGAATCTCATTTTCTAGATTGGCAATCTGAAAAATAAAGAGAAAATCATCAATAAGGGGAAAGATTCACATTGCTGAAAATTATATCAATGGCAAGTTATCATAGTCATAATTCAAGACATCACTCCAGATAATTCACCACACCAAATCACAAGCTTCTTTAGAAACACATGAAGCAGTGCATAGGAGCAACTTCAGAGGCAGTGGGAGAGAGAAAAGACCTCTGAATGCATGGATCTTGCCACGTCATTATCTACATCTCAGCATGCAGCCATATTCCTATTATGTAATCATTATACATCAGCAAGATTCCCCCAACTTAAGAGAAAGGCATCCCCTGTGGAGATGGAGCTTCATCAACTATAGTTTGCAATACAAATTGCCACACACATGGTAAAGCTTTGAATAGTACCCCTTATTGTAGGAAAGCAGTCCAGGAATCCCCTGGCTGGAGGTTGGGAGCTGAAATGCTTATACGTCATGAGAGGCCGAGATGGAATCTGTTTACTGCTAACTACGCAGTGAGTTAGCCTTGAGAAAGGCAGATAACAGACAGCTTGCCTGAGAGAACGAGAACACACACACACACACACACACAAACATTCCTTTAGGATGCTCTAATGCTTGAAGGGGGGAAAAATGTGTATAAAATAAAAGCTTGAAGCCGAGAGGTTTCAGTCAGTTCCTGACAGTTCCTGCAAGCTTGTCTCCTGTCGTCTTTGTGTCGCCTGCACCCCACACCCTAACGAGCAGCACCGCAAGTGGCGCCCAACGTGGGGCTTATCTACGGATCAATCTCACTAACGCCTGGCATAGGCCTCAAGAAGTACTTCCTCGTCGTGATTCAGCGACCCCTCATTGGTGAGATGGGTGCTAAACTAGAATTACCCATGCAAGAACATTTAAAGGAACTTCAGATTATTACCCAGAAAGCTGGCAGGCCAGTTTCTTCTGAGACCCTCACTCAAATGCTTTTTGAGATTCAAAGCCAATGCTCTTGGTATCCAGAAAATGGATCTTTGGCATTAAAAGACTGGGATATCATTGGGAAGATATTGCACACAGAGCCTAAAGCTCCTGTTGCAGTGTTACAGTCTTGGTTTATATGCAGGTTTGCAATCAATGCAATTGCACCTGTTTTTCCTCTGGCCTCTCTTACATGCAATGTAGAGGCTCACCTTGCTTATTCCCAAGGGTCATTGGGAAGATATTGCACACAGAGCCTAAAGCTCCTGTTGCAGTGTTACAGTCTTGGTTTATATGCAGATATGCAATCAATGCAATTGCACCTGTTTTTCCTCTGGCCTCTCTTACATGCAATGTAGAGGCTCACCTTGCTTATTCCCAAGGG